CAATAAAGATAATCACTATAATGAACTGAAATGCATAAAACATTTATATCCATGAGTCCACGAAGATATGTAAGAAAACTTTCTTGGTCACCTTAGGATGCTAGAGAAGCAGCTCATTATCTTAAAAGCTAGAACATTTATCCTGCATTTTCTAGACAAAGCATACCTCAAGTAACTAAACTAGTGAGGGAAACTGCTGTTATAAAGCACTCCAGCTAATAAATAATGAATGATGGAATTAGAACATCACCATTTGCAACCCCTAATGAGTTAATGGATCTAGGCAATAATCATGAATGGCTGCTAACATCACAAAAAAGAACGATAACCAAACATTATTTGCCTCTTGGCAGAAGCATCCAGAATCACCTGTGAAGTATTCTTGCCCCCAAAAACAAACCTGAATCTGATCAACCCTCCAGATCTAACTACCAGTTTATGGAAAGCTCAGGGAGGAATACACCAAACACTACCACAGAGATACAATTAGGGAAAAAACAAACAAAAAACAGACTATAAATACTACAGGACAAACAACCTTGTTTCTTCAACAAAAATTTATGAGGAAAAAAACAGAGAAAGGAATGAGAATCTTTATTTCAAAAGTCTTAAGAGATGCTAACCATTTTAATATATAAACCTTATTTGAATCCTGATTCACAGAAACTAAAAAAATTTTTAAAAAATTGTGGAAATTTAAGCATCAATTCCTTATTTAATGATTTTAAGAAATTATTATCCATTTATTGTGATAACAGAGATGTGGTTATGTTTATTAAGAGTCCTTACCTTTTTAAAATTAAACTTTTCATTTTGAGATAACTGTAGATTCCACATGCAGTTGTAAGAAATAATACAAAAAGATTATCCATACCCTTCACCAGTTCCCCAATGGTAACATCCTGCAAAACTACAGTACAATATCACAACCAAGATAGTAACATTGATACAGTCAGACACGGGACATTTCCATTGCTACAAGGTTCCCTCTCATGTTGCCTTGTATAGCCACACCCTCTTCCTTCCTACCTACACCTCCTTCTCTAACACCCAACAACCACAAATCACCTCTCTAATTTCAAAAATGTTATTTTAAGTGGAATCATATACTACGCAACCTTTTGGGACTGGCTTTTTGTACTCAGAATAATTCTCTGGACACTCATCCAAGTTGTTCAGCGTATCAGTAGTTGGTTCCTTTGTATTACTGAATAGTATTCCCTAGCAAGGATGTGCCACTTCATTTAATCTCCATGGTCTGAAGGACATCAGAATTGTTTCCATTTGGACTATTACGGATAAAGCTGCTATAAACATTGGTATAAAGTCCTTGTTTTTTAAAGATACATACTTAAATTTGTATGGATGAGATATGATGTTTCAGATTTGCTTCTAAAAATTCCAGATGGGGTGAGATACTAAAAAAGTAACATTGGCCATTAGTTTGTAAATGTATTATACTATTAGCTCTACTTTTGTATATGTTCATAATTTTCCATAATATAAAGTTTAAAAACAAGAAGACAGTAAGAAACAATTACCTATCTGACCACTTCCACACCCACATACATAAACACACACATCTTCAAGTAAAATTGAAGGTATGCTTTCTTACTTTATGACTTTTAATTTGTGCCAAGATCACAGGAGTTCTTTACCTAAAACACAGAGCCCACACCTGCAAGTAATCATTATTGTAACATTCATTGTACCACTTTGGGCAGATCCAACCTAGGCATCTGTTAACTTTCTTTCAGAAGTTCTTTATTAGGCTACAGGGTTGAGATAATAGGTAATTCATAATGTTGGACAAAAGCAGGTAAGTAATCACCATAATCAAATGTATGAGATTCATTAGTGGCTTGTCGTCAAAAGAGAGGGTTCATGTCTGACATGAACAGGTCCTTATCATCAAAACAAATGCTGAGAGAACAGAAGTGTGATTACTAAAGATGAAGAGCAGCAAACTATATGAGCACAATCAAGCCTGAAGATGAAGTGAAATGCATTTTATATTGTGCGAAGGCTGCTTTTGTTTTTAAGCCGCTCTGAAGGACAGGATATTATTATCATGTTCAGTCTGCGAGCTAATGGTTCTTCAGGGTAATCTGCAAAATGCTTTCTACTGTTTGGTGCCACCACTAGTCTATCAGCTCATTCTCCCCTAGTGCTGTATCACAACCTCCCCTTCCCCCAACTGAGGACACTATTTTTTTCTCCACGTGCGGTTTTACAAAAATGAAGACCCACTCTCTCAAGGATCTCAGGCAAAGAAGAACATGTAAATGCCAACCCATTAACTAATCTAAGATTAAAAGCCAAGACCGCCGAAGGAGACATTCATGATGACTTCTGAATGCCAAGTAATGCAATGGCGACAAGTGAGTTTCCCTGGCTAGGTCTTTAATGCCCGCACATGCACTGTGACGAGCAATTCTAAAGCTTAAACAAAGTTTGTTGTCAAAAGTGGGATAGCTGTCCACAGATCAATTCCCATAAGACAAATCCCAAAGGAACACCTAACCGTTCCAGTTGTGTTGTAGTCTGGTTATATCAACCATCTGTCCCATTAAGTGAGCCCCCGCACTTGGGTGTTAGAAATAATAATGCTTTTTGTGATTGGATTTGATCATTACTACTATACTATGTCAGGTAGGAAAAGATGGTCCACTAACTGGCTGTCCACATGACACTTAAGGATCTACAAATTAAAAGATATTAGTCAATTCCTTTAAAAACAATCAATGTACAGATTGGTTCATTTCGTTGGTTTAGCAACTTAGAAGTTCTATCAATAGAAATCTATTGGCAACATCATATTAGGAAACTAAGAAAATACAGTTGAGTACAAAGTCTTGTTCATATGTCAAGTCAGAACAGAGACACATAGAATTAAAACCCAAAATGACACAGATCACCAGGAATTGTGCTATAGGCTTGCACTGAGATTAGTAACAGGATTGGTAGTGACAGAAAGGGAAAGCATAAGAAATGGGCTCAAGAACGTAATGTAAAATGTAAATGAAAAGAAGCAGAGAAAAAAGGCACTAAAGTTAAATGCGGATGTATTTTTGGATGTCTTTGGCATCTATCTTCTGCCTCTAACATTTGCCATCTTCCTTGACTCTTACAACCAAACATTTTCTGGGTCCTGTGGTTCTGACACTACAGTCTACATTTTTAGACAACCTGTGGTCCCTGGCAAGACACTGGAAGTTGAAACTCTTAGCACTCACCTTGATGCTTAAAGGCTAAATGCTTTGCATAAAATAAAATGTTCTTGCCAAAAATCTTAACGATGGATTTGCTTATATGTCTCATTCTTCTTCTTCAGTGCAACCACCCATACCTGGTCTACAGAACTGGGTTTCAGAGGGGGCCATTTCTGTGAGCTGAAGTGGTTTCAAGAAAGGAACATGAGAGAAAAAAAGGAAATATAAAGACAGAACAAAGGCAACAGGGAAGACAAGTCTGGAAAGAATTCTAAGAACAAACTACACAGGATAGCTTCTGGAAAATGAACAGCCATGTTTGGCAGGAGCTGAGACTGTGTACAGCAGAGTACAAGATAAGCTTGAAAGGGCAGGCTGGAGCCAGGGAGTGGCAACCACTGGAGCCCAGGTGAGGCATTTAGACCACATGCCATTGGCCTTTGGACAGCTACTGCAGGTTGGTGCATAGGCAAGATATGCACACCATGTTTAGGAGGATGTGACTGATGATAGGTGCAGGGAGGAAGGAGCAGAAGACCAGAGTTGTGAAGCCTTACTAACTGTTCCAGGTAAGGCTAGAGGACTTGATCTAAGAGGGCAATGGTGGGAAGGGAAAGGAAAGGATTAACTTGAGGGGCTGTGTGAAATATGCATGTACTTAAACCTAGTTTTGTCCTTAATTAGAACCTAGAAAACGGTCATTTGCAGTCACTGTCAAAGAACTACTTACAAGATGCTAAGGATTCTTATGTTGATTGGGAGGTAAACTGTCATTATTATGATCAAACACATAAGAGGGCATAAAAATTCTAATGGCTGATAAAATCATTTTTAAAGGAAGCTTTGATTAAGCTTAACAGAGGCTGGGAAAAGATAAGATTTTTGATATAAGTAAAAATTATTTTTAAGGAAACCATGATTGGTTGCAAGGTGATGAGTATTTTTAAATTTCTAAAATAATTAACTGCTGATTTTAGCAAGGCAGTAATAATGACTTAATGATTGACAGATCTATTTTTCCCTAGTTTTGCAAATCTACTTTTTATATCTACTTTTGCAGATGTATTTTCTCTACTTTTTTCAGATCGCTATTGCAAACCTATTATTAATCAAAAGTGAATTTTTTTGCAAATGTACCTATGAGCAAAACTCTGAAGCATTGTAGGCGACACAAGCTAAATCATGTACTTCTTAGTGAATACGCCAACCTATTTACTATTCTCATTTACTTAATACATTTTTATTGAGCCCTCACTATATGATAAGTACACTACCAATGCTGGGTGTACAATAAAGACAGAAAAAGAAGTGCCTGGGTGGCACGGTCGGTTAAGCATCTGACTCTTGGTTTCAGCTCAGGTCATGATCTCAGGGTCGTGATATCGAGCTCAGCGCAGAGTCTGCTTGAGATTCTCTCTCCCCCTCTCCCCCCCACCAACTCATGCTCTCTCTCTAAAATAAATAAGAGAACAAGGTTCTGCCCACATGGGAATGCATAGTACAATGACAAAGAAAGACATTAATTAAAAAAAAAAACTATCCAAATATATAATTTAAAATTGTGATAAGCATTATAAAGGAAAACTACGGGTTGCCTTGAGAGCTTATAACAGGGAGGAGAAACCAAATCTGGGTCTGAGAAGGTGTCTTAAAGGAAACTGTCTTTGAACTGAAATCTGTAAGGATGCAGAGGAATGAAATAGGAAAAAAAGAGTAGAGGAGAGAACTAGAAGAAAAGATGAGCAGAGGGAAAGAATCACATATAATAAAATAAAAATACTCTCTAACCTGTTGGGTAATGGTGTCCCATGGCTCCTGCAGCATCTGTGTCTTATAACACTCATGGATTCCTTCCCATATGTCCTTCAGAGCTAAAGGTCTTCCATCTGCAAAAGTGCATGGCAAAGACCATCAGTCAGTAATCCATTTGACACAATGATGTTTGGTGTTTATCTAAAACTACTAGAAGAACGTTATGATTTTTTAAAAAATCTTTGCTAGTACACATATTACTTATATGTCAAAAGAGTGCCATATGAATTACTATTTTCTTCCTGAGGGAAATTTAAACATTCAAGCTTCTCTCCTTTGTAACCATCTAGCAGTTAAATTATCTGCTCATTCATTGCCTGTAGGAATTCTGCAGAATAAATAAAATCCAAATGTATTTTAGAACTGATAGATACAAGCACAGGCAAAGGACCAGGTAGACAGACTCCCATATTCACAAGGGTGCACTATGAACACCTCTGAAATCTTACTATTTCCTCGAGTTCTTAAATCAAAGACGTACACGTTTCTTTCACTCTCTCATTGACTATCTGTAATGTTCAAATCACTCTGTTGAGTACCATGGGGAATAGAAAAAAGGAAAGCACACAGTTTCTCCTGGTACGAAGCCTACCATCTACTAGGGAAACTATGACAAGTATATCAATAGTACACTAATACTAAAATACTGGGTAGAGAGTGGTTGTTGCCAAGAGGAAAACTGCAGTTCTCCGACAGTACAGAGGAGGGAGACATTAACACCCAGTGTTTGTGGCAGGTGGAGAAAGGGAATTGCTAAGGGTGGAAGGACATGAGAAGGAATTGGCATGAAGAGATTAGGGAAGTGGCTGTATTATTCACTATTATTCTAGTGAATAATAATTCTTTTTCTTTCTTTAAACAATTCAACAATTCACTTATATTTCTAACAATCACAACAATTCACCTATATTCATAACAATCCAAATAATGTATTTCATGAAGACCACTATGGCACTAGGAGAGAAATAGGTATCTAAATTTGTAAAATAAAGTAGAAAGAAGAAATTACCTAAAGACTTTGAAATCGCACACTGCTGGACAGAAGGTGATCTTACTACTAGAATTTAATGCTACTTGGCCCAGAGCTATCAAGTCCTCAGAACTTAGGGTTGTGCTCGCTTAGGCAAGTGGACAATAGCATTTAAAGAAAGCTCATCACGGCCCCTGGGTGGCTCAGTCAGTTGAGTGTCTGCCTTCGGCTCAGGTCATGATCCCAAGGTCCTGGGTCAGAGTCCCACATTGGGCTCCCTTTCTCGGTATCTCTCTCTCAAATAAATAAATAAAATCTTAAAAAAAAAAAAACTAAACTAAACTAAAACTAAAACTATAACACTCTCACTCCTGTGAGCTTTTTTTTTAAAAAAGGAAAGAAAGAAAGCTCATCAGTATATCAGATCATTAGACCCAAAGAAGTATTTGGTCATCAAGTGCAATAAAACTTGGGGAAATAATCTATCCCAACCCCTAACGCCCCCACCACAAAGCAAAAGGTATTGTACTCAGATTCATGGAGTTTAAGTAGAGATGTAGACTGTAGGAAAAGAGCACTGGACTTGGAGCCCAGGCTGAATTTGAATTCTGGTGTCAGCACTTAACTCTCTACGTGACTGCAAGTTATTTGGCTTTTACCTGTAAATGAGTATAATTATCCTTCTCAAATCCTGTTCATGTGAATGGGCTTGCATCAGTGAACACACCCAGGACTGTGTCAGGCACACAGTCAGAGCTTAATACCTAGTACGTATCTCCTCCCAGCCCCCACTGCACCACTTCAGTACTTCCCATACTATAAAGCTAAAGGATTCACTTACAGACCACTATTTCTTAGAATTTTCTCATGTTTCTACACCATGCACATTGTGTTTGATGACATAATATACTAATACCAGAGGCAGGGCATTTCTCATGTTTGACCAGAAAAGTTGAACTTTTCCTCAACCTTTATTTTCAATAAATAGCAATAGAGTATTTTGATACATTTTCAATAAGTATCTTCATCTTGGCATTTATCTGTGGCAGGAGACCATTATCTTTTGATAAATAGTTTTATTCCACTGACATTTCCATGTCTGTAAAATGAACAAGATTTATTCATCCAATTAACATTTGAATGTCATGTTTAGGTACAAGTTAAAAACAAGCTGCCTTCAGTATCTGTGTTATATTGTTTTCTGAACACATTTACAGAGCAGGGCCAAACTTTGCCCTTAAGATAAGCACTACATATCTTCAAAATACGCACATGTGTGTGTGTGTGTGTGTGTGTGTGTACTGATGTTGGAAGAGGGGGGTAGGGTCTTAAGTACTTCAATGTCAAATGGTAAACCAAATAATCAAATTATAAAAAGATGACATGCTTTTAAAATAATTTTCAGATGTTGAAGTTATAAGAAATCAAGTTGTAGGATAATAAAATGTTAGAGCTGGTATATTAAGGCAACCAAGGTCTTGGGAAACATACATCAGCCAAAATTATGCAGCCAGTTCATGACTGCACTGGAGCTGGAATTCAAGTCTCAGTGACCTTCCTGCCATCCCCGGCAACCTTTGGGGGCGGGTCTCAGTACCCTTCCCGCCATTCCCTGCAGCCTCTGAGGGCGGAGACTGCCCCTATCCTTTCACCACTGCAGCCCTACAGTGTAGTTCCAAGCCCCACTCACACATTGCAAATGCTTTATAAATATTTACTGAGTAAATGATAAAGGAAAGGACACCCTCCTTAACTTTATCTCCTCTAAGACAGAGAAAGGCTTTGCAGACTTAGAGAATGCTGGGTTTAATATCTGGCCATCAATAATGATTTTAATTTTACTCCTTAAAATATTTCAGCCTACAATCTAAGGATGGAGTAAGTGGTTTGGATATTACCACTGTCAAAACCCGGCATACTCTGCTGGAACCATTCATACAAAATGCAATAATCAGCAGCTACCAACAAGGTGGAAAGACCCAGAACAAATGTAACAGAATATTTTCATCAGATTTGATGCTACGATTGAGGGTGTGTGACATATGTTTTCAGAGAACCTCAGATCTACAGGAAAACAATTAACATCTTACAATGCAGGAATTAAAACTGATCTGGTCAACTTAGAAATAACAGATAATTACAGAGTTAAAAATAATAAGTTCAAACATAAAAAGATGCATCATGCTCCTACATGCATGTTTGTAAGAGGGCTACCCACTTTCTAGAAAGAGAAGAGTGTTTTCTAAGTGAACAGACCCATTCTCTAATGGGTCTGTATTCTCTAATGCATTTACAGACTGTTTAAAAATGCATGTATTAATGATGATCAAATGAGCACTTGTGCAAGCTACTATGACAAGAGTGCCAATCTCTCCAGCTTCTGCTGACCATCTACACTGCAGACAATCTGGCTAATACAGCTTTTTCTCTCACATACAGATATGACAATAATGACTGTGATGTGGGTTCTTTTCTCTAAGCCTTTATCATCAACTTGCCCAGTCAACGCTCATGCCTTCACGATCAAAGACATACAAAAGTTAGTTTTGTGATCTTCTATGCTAAAACAAAAAATTTTGACCTAATCAGCAATTTCTCCAAAACCATGTCATACACCACTGACACACAAAATATATTCAAAATATGATTGTGATTCTAATTATTTCAAAACCAAATGGAACCTTCATTAATTCCACCGAAACCATTAAACGGAGACCATCAAATATATTTCAAAAATCACGTCATAAAAGTAGAGCTTAAATATTGCAGAAACTTGAAGAACTTTGCGATTTTGAATCTATCTATTTATGAAAACCGAAGACCCAAAACTTTAACTTAAACTGTGGGCATAAACAAATCCTTGGTTAAGCTCATGAAACACATTATTATGTGCTTTCATGTTCAGTTGAAGGTATCTTCAATCAGAAACTTTAAGCCCTGTTAAGAGGGTCTATTCTTTTCTGTCTGGCCTCAGTCAGAGGTGACATAAGCATACTCAATCAACAACTCCCTAGTTTTAGACCCAAGATATTCAATAGCACCAATTTTAACATACTTAGAAATCTCATTAATCACACTGAGGCTGAGAAGCTCAGTAAAATCCCCTGCATGCTTGAAAAATTGAAGCAGAAGCTGAAATAATTTCAGCAGCAACCCACAAAGTAAGCATGGCAAATTAAGGCCATTTATTTAACAAGTGTTTATTGAATGCCTACTGTATGCCTCTATCTCCTGGAATGATGATACACATTTGAGCTAAAGGAATATTCTGTCAGCAACCTAGAATGTCAATGATAAAAGAAGAAGAGACACTGGATGAAAAATAGAATAATTAAAAAGTACAATCTTTAGCAACTGCCAGTAGCGTTTAATTTAACAATTTTCATATAAAATCTCTCAATTGAATAATAACCTACATGTAAAATAATCTATATATTACTCAAAATGTGCAGCTCTCTAAATTTCTTCCTTATGGAGCACAACACAAACATTCATCTATCCAGGAAAGCTAAAATATAGTCTCTCTCAGGTAAGAAAATAAATTACCTTCTCATGTCCTCTTCCTGGCCTTGGATCCACTTAAAATCTGTTGCTTTTTGTATATATGGTATTTTGCACTAATACAGGTTAGAATAAACCTTTTGGCTAATTAGTTCTCCCTGTAGTTTTGTTTCACATTTCTCTAGCATTTTCTTCTTTAAAACATTTTTAAACCAGGGCTTGATTTTTCAATGGGATTCTATTCCCATCGTATGTTTTAAACAAGCATCCTAACTCCCCATACTATTTCAAACGTTTACATGGTTCAACAAATAATTCTTGTTAAATTTCCTGTATTGTTTGATTTTTCAATTTGAATATCTTTGTGTTAGTTAATTTTTCATTATTTTTCTTAATAATTTCCACTATTTGCTCTTAAATTTGATTTCAATCCATTGAATTTCTTTTTAATGTACCAAAGTTCATGTTCCATTCCATTATCATAGCTTTATAACTTTATATAAGTATACGTGGCATATATGAACTTTCTTAAAGATTCTCTATGATCAAATAAATTAAATTAAATTATCTGTCAAATCATTTTCTATATTCTGCTCATTGTAATCATTAACGAGAATCATTTTTGCCTCAATCTTTAAGAACCTCTCCAATCCACCTTTTCTTTCCTGTTCAACAAGCTGCCTCACCTCTCACTTTGCTGGCAACCACTTCCAACCCATTATCTCTTTCATAATTTGACCTCAACATATCTTTCCAAATATTTCTTCCACAGTTCATCTTAAGGAAACCTTTACTTCAAACTGGCCTCTCACTGTTCCCCAAACATACTATGCTCTCTCCAGCTTGGCACCCACCCTCCTCCTCTTCTCCGATGCTTTTTCCAGCCTCTTCAGAAAAGCCAACCTGTTACCTTCCTTTGCAAGTTGTTGGACGGAGCTGTGGATACTTTACTTTATTCTCCAACTTCCTCCAACTCCATCTTTCTGTTTTCCTGTTATTCTCTTCTAAGCACTCCAAAGACCTCCTCTTGTTCCAGACCACATTGAACAAGGCTCTTCTTCCTTCTCCTTGATGATTTACACACTGCTCTAAGTCCAAACTTTCCATTATTCTTCCTTTATGCTGGCCTTTATCGTGGTTTGCCTTTGAGAGATAATTATTCTTGGCTATTTCTTTCTCCCTGTTCCTCCATGAGCATCCTTTAGGCATACAGCAAGTGGACAAATCTTCCACATGAAATATCTGGATTACATTTTTAATTCTATACTCTTACTCCCCGGGCCAATAATAGAATGGATCTCCAGAAAGAACAGACATTCAGTTGCTGAATGGAAGAAATGTTTCCTTCCCTATTCAAAAGCAGCCCTTCTGACTAATTAAAGAAATATGTCAAAACAGTTCCCAAGAAGAACCCATATGTCAGCCAAAGAATTAAATATTTTGAAAATGAGAAGAACCATTTGGTCTCTTTTTCAATAGAGATTGAGAACAAAGGAAAAGAAGAAAGGGCAGGAATAAATCAGAATTCAAACTGAAATAAATATAGAAATCTGTAGTTGTCATGAAAGGGAAAACTATGTAAGCTTAGGACTCTGGTGAAGCCCTAAGACATTACGTATATAGCTAAGGTTTTTCACTACGTTTCTAACACTTGCCACCAGCTTTTGACCAAAACCAAGTCCTCAATCAAAAAGGAAAAATGGGACATAAAAAGGTGCTGGAATGATGGGCAATACACAAAGCCCTTAGCATGATACAAATACTTCTTTAAAACAGTGTGCTTCAAAAATAGTTGGATGGGGGGAGTGGAAACAGTGAGCACTGAAGATGGCAGTGTTTTGTGAGAATGGACTTCATAAACTACAAAGCACTATTTGAATATAGGCTATTTATTACTACTTGACAGGAATGTAGTTACCTCTTACCCACTGCTGGGTAACAAATGGTATTAAGTGTGTCCCACTACTTCTTCCAAACTTCAAATGGCAAAAGTAGTTAGGGAAAAAAAAAAAAATACTGGGAAGGACTTATTTCTCTTCTTAAATCCATGTTACCCCCGAGAAAACCGGGTTCCTAAATGTCCAAGTAGTAGGAATGAGAGGTACTCAGCAGCAGAATGCTGGCGCAATTTGGCTGTTTTCGCCTTCAAGGATTGAATAAAAATATGTGTTTATAGAAGTGGGGCAGCTGCTCAGCTAGTTTGGATGCCCACCCTTTGAGTACTCAAGACTTGCCATTTTCCTTAGTCAACTACTTCTGTAGTCTCTAAGAAGTATCAAACTGGAGAGTAAAAGTATATATAGATGTTTTGGGTCCTGAGCTTCCTGGAGACAACAGCATCACTCTCTTCCTTATAACCCATCAGAGCAATTCAAATAAGGCCCTATCACACTGTTTCCATCTTTGGGTTGTATGCAGAAATAGTTAGAAATTCCTCATCATTGGTTCATTCAGTAAATACTTGTTGGTACTATATCACAGCAGATCCTGTGGGTGTCAAAATGAGTAAGACAAATAACAAACGTCACATATGTATTACACACACACACTACCATGAATTAAGCTTATCACTTTGTAGGTTATAGGTACTCGCTATTAATTTCCTTCCTCCCTCTTTTCACCTTACAGCTCCATTTTCTTGCTTACCATTTCATAGGGGACAAGCAAATAATTCTCTTATAGTGAAACTTGCGATATTATATACGATATGATGTGAAATGATGTGGTGTGATGTGATATGACATGGAAGTGAAAAGAGCAAGTGCCATGTTAGCTGAGTCCTGGGCAGTAATAGGCCTGGTGGACACTGGCCAATACAGAGGAATAAGAAGTAATCACAATTCAATGGATTTGCATTTCAAGAAACACAATAAATATTTCTTCTGGAATCTAAACCAGTTGATAAAAGAAAAGGTCATGTCACTTAAATGCAAATTACTACTACTAATTGCTTTACTTAAAAAAAAAAAAAGGTAACAGAAGAAAAATCAGAGCAGAGCAGAGAAACTAATTTTTACTAACAATCAAATGCAAAAGAAATTCTAAATATCTGTCCAAAGCAGGGCTAAGTGAACTATTTCTGAAGCAACAAAAAAGACCCCTGAGCAAGAAATTTTTATAATCATCCTCTTTCTAGGTCGGAACTCTGTTAGAATGAGACAAAGAAAAATCTGGACCTGGAATAAGAGGAAGATGGTAGGAATCCATTCACCACACTGACAGAGATGTTTAACAAACAGATGGAGGGCCAGAGAAATCAGATAGCGCAGAAAAAGGGAATGGATTAAAGGGAATAAATGAAAAATTATGACTCCAGAGTAAAGGGCGAAACATTTTTAGAACATCCATTAGGCTAAGTTAGTAGAAAAGAGAAAAGAAATTCTTAGAATATGATAAAGGAAAGAACCATTTTTCATGTTCCTCCACAAGAAAACATTCAGTATGCTTTGAAAAATTAAATTAGATATTTTAATTTACCTGCGTAAATACTAAATGAATTCTGGAATTTAAAAAAGTCCCTAGTGCTCATTCCACACCACACAGAATGGGGAGGGAGGAACAAGGAAAGCTGCCATGTAAAATAAATGACTTGTTGGGGTTTTCTTTTATTAACCATAAAAAAGGGGGTCTTACAAGTATATAGATAGGATCCAAGAAAGCAAGTGCGTTATTTGTTTGTTTTTTTGTTACTATTTTTCTTTTTTTTTTTAAGGAACAGAAAGCCATCATAAAGAAAAGATCCCAAGAAGTCTACAAATTTCGTTAAAATATAATTGGACTTGCAGGAACAATCACTGTGCTGTACTGTAAGGGGAGCTGTTGGCACATTAAGAGCAAAGTACACGTCTGAGCTCATCCACCAGCCTCGGCAAGACCCACTTCCAGCTAGAAGCAGTCATGTTTCAACACCTCCGACTCCCTAATGCTGACAAGCTCAACAACTTGTTTTGTCTCTGGGAGCTCTTCTCTGGTGATTAACTGCTTATGGTGAATACTAATTATAGGAAAGTACAGTATTGAAGAAGTAGTGTCCTATTTCCTTTACCTGCAGCCTCGATGCGTCTTCGAATCTAGAAAGGTACTAGGTAGAGCCACTGCAAGCCAAAACCAAGAAAAGTATTTCCCCTCCCCCATGGTAAATAAATGTATCCCCTTCTGCTTTTTAGGATAACAGAGTTCACTGACAATAAACCCCCTTAACCTCTGGGCTCCAAACTGAAGAGAATTACAACAATAAAGTGAGTGTTTTAAAGGCCTATAATAATCATATGGATAAATCTGCAGCAAGAGTTTGTGAATTAGTAACTATCAGTGTCCTCAATTCCCCATGTCCCATGTTGAAAATTTACCCCAAACTGTCAGTTCTTAGGAACTGCACCTCAGATTAAAATCTTCTCACCAGGGAGTCTATGAGAATTTGTTCTTGTGTTTTAAATCCTAAGTGCTTGTTAAACCGCCAACACTGCAAAATTAGAGACCATTAAACAATATAAGGCAGCAAGTGATTAAATCTACCAGATACACATTCAAAGCAGCTTAAGCTACTTTTTAATTAAAAATAAAATATCACTGGCTAAATTCAGATGTCTTAGCTACCCAGAAAAAGTTAGAAGGCTGTTCAAAATGCAAATGCTGCTGATAAGGCCAGAGAGAAAAGGAGAAACAGGGTAGGGGGTGGGCTGGGGAGGCAGCTCCTCTTGTCCTGAGCCCAGGGAGACAGGGCCTTGCAATGCTGACCGGGTTTAGTCAGAGGACGAGAAGAGGGAGTCACTGCCGCGCTACTGGGTGAGAACTCCATGTGGCTGCTGATTAAATAAGCTTTATTAGCCAAGGCCTCAGAGGATACAGGGGTGTTCCACCTTCTTGGCAAGGGGAATGAGTTGAGTAACTGCATGGCAGGAAGCTACGGCACTGGAGATGTATAGATGGCCGAAGGAAATGTTCGTGCTATTTTTAAATACAGCTTGAACTATTTGATAAACCGTTCTTGAAATAATTACTAGCATTTGAGGAAGGAGACATGGGGGCTTTTGAGCTAACAGAATCGCTTAAGAGTGAAAGACATTTTTACTGTAAAGTTAGAAGTACATAAACATTGTAGCTTTACATTGTTCCTACTTGTTTAAGGAAAAGAAAAAGGGCCAGGGGCTTAGTCAGTGTTGGGCAGGAGGCCAAGAATCTGAAGATCAGACTTAAGGCTGGGATGATATCATTCACTCTGAAGTCTTGATACTCTTTCTAAAGCATGAGAAAATTTACTGGTAAAACCTTACCTCACCCACAGTTTTCTTATTTTTAACTCTATTTTTTTTTTCGCTCAAGAATAATTTTCTAAATCTGCTTTCTGCCTTATATGTAAATGCTATGAATTTATATCTAGCAGGCGATGGTCTTACCTAAAAAGCTTGCCCTAAAGTAAAGCACAGGCACTTGGTAGCTACAGGAGTATAAGACATGATACTCATATTTAATCACTTCGCTTCCCGTTGTGGTCTCAGTCACTTCAAAATCATCCAGGGGTAGCTCTAAAGCCTCCTGAAAACAAAAACAAAATGTGTGTGTCAATAAAAAAAAAAAAAAAAGTACATTAACACAGAAAGGGAAAGAGGAGGTTTTCTTCTGGCAAAATAACAGTTAAATAAATATAGCACTATGAGGTAAGGAAAAGGGAGTTTCCAACATTAATGTTTAACGTTTGAGTCCTGGGTAAATAGTAAAACCAGAAAACATTAGCATTAAGTAATTCCAGATTGTTTTTGAGAGACAAAGCAGCTCTGGGTAAAGAAACAGGAAGGAAAAAAAAAAAAAAGCAAAAGATCTATTGCAACAGCAACTCTGAAAAATCTTTACTGTACAATTTTAGCAACAAGATGATGGCTATACAAGCTACCTTCTTCCCTACCTGTGAAAGCTAAAAACATCCTAACAATTGAACAAGAGGCTGTGAAATGTCCCTAAAGATTCTATTGTACTTGCCAAAAGATGATTCATTGTGTGCTGAACAATTCCCAGTTCCATTTTGAATAAGAAAGTTATTTTGCAAGAGGTTGAGTTTGTTAGGTACATTTCAAAACCTGAGATGAGTCTGTTTTCTTTATTATTGTGCTATCGGTGGCATATTTCTATGATAAATCTTGATATTTACGATAGAATAGATGGCAAATACTAATGCCAACTTAAACACGGTTTTTGTAAGCAACGATGGTTATAGCCAGCTCACTTCCCACTAATCATTCTTTACTGAGGGACTTTTTTTTAATTATTTGTGGGTGTTTCTGAGGAATTTATCTTAATGTTTGGAAGCAATTAATTGGACATGTTGAGTCAGAATCTGGTTCCATCCACACTCATTTATTTGGGTTGATTCGGGTTGAAGAATTTCCTTTGAAATTAAATTACTAAAAGGAAAGAAGAAGGTTGGTTTGGCTCATTTCTACCTCTCATTAAAACAGTAACAACAATGAACAATAGGAAAGAGTTACAGGAAAGATTTCAAACTTTATCAATATGAAATAAGGTTTCCTGTGAAGATAAGTAAAGCCACAGACTACTCTCCAGATCTGTATCTGCGTTACTAATTCCCCACTCACAGTCAATTCACTGGGGGAGATACTACACTAGATAAATCACAACCGAAGATACTTACAGAACAGTTTTCACTAAACTCCAGTAAACACTATCAATTAAACACAATGAATTAAATAACCAGAGAGAAATCACTGAAATATATAGTCCAGAAACAGAAAGTTCATACAGTAGCAAGAAAGAGATTTTTCTGTTTGTTTATTTGATTTTTCATTAGGCAAAGTTACCTGTATCTCCTTTAAAAGCAGTTCTTCAAACCAAATTATTTCTTTTTGGTCAAAGCTTAGGTTGTTTAGCATTTATAATTTCCTTTCTTTTTTAACATTATAAAGCATTATGTCTTCGTGATAAAAAATCATTGCAGGGGCACCTGGGTGGCTCAGTCAGTAAAGCCTCTGACTCTTGATTTCAGCTCAGGTCATGATCTCGGGGTTGTGAGATGGAGCCCTGTGTTGGGCTCCACACTGAGCGTGGAGCCTGCTTCAGATTCTCTCACCCTCTCTCTCTGCCTGCCCCCATCCCTCCTTAAAAAAAAAGAAAAAAAAAAATCATTGCAAATACTGTAAAAGTACATAAAATAAAAAGTGAAATTCCCCTCACCCCAGCACTTCTATACCTCTGGTATGTATCCATTTTTAATACGTCAGTGTGTATTTTTCCAGACTTTTAGAATTTTTTGGCCTACAATCACATACAGACATATACATCCACCCACACATCCTAGATTTATTCATGATGTATGGGGGCGCCTGGGTGGCTCAGTCAGTTAAGCCTGTGACTCTTGATTTCAGCTCAGGTCATGATCTCAAGGTCGTGAGATTGAGTCCCAACTCAGGCTCCACAATGGGCATGGAGCCTGCTTAAAATTCTCTCTCTCTCCCTCTTCCCTCTGCCCCTCTCCCCCTCACACACACACACTCTCTCTTTAAATATAAAAAAAAAAAAAAAAAAATCATGATGCATATACATATATTCCTTGATTTGATTTTTTTGCTTTTCATTCATGGACATCTTATCATGTCCTGCCATATCAATGCTATTCCATTACATGACTGTGCCATAGTTTATTTGTTTCTTTTAGCATTTCCATATTGCTAGATATTTTAGGTTGATTATAATTTTCTGCTGCTACAACTAATACTGCAATACATATCATAGCATATATATCCTTATACACCTCTATTTTTCTGTGGTAGATTCCTAAAGGGGGCATTATTGTATGAAAGAGTATGTGCGTTTTAAAGTTCAACAGACAACTGCCAATCTATCCTCAGAAAAAGACTGCCTCAATTTATATTCCCAGAAAGAATGTAGGAGAATGTCCTTTCCCATATCCCGTAAGTACTTGAACATTATTTGTTTGTTTTTAATTTCTGTGTATTTGATGAATTTTTAAATGTCATTTTTTGGTTTTATTTTTAAGATTTATTATTATTATTATTTAGAAAGAGACAGGGAGAGAGTGGGGGGAGGGGCAGAGAGAGAGAAATTGACTCCCAGCTGAGTGCAAAGCCTGGCTCAGGACTCGATAGATCTCACAGCCCCGAGATCATGACCTATGCCAAAATCAAGAGTCAGACATTTAACCAACTGAACCACCCAGGCGCCCTGCATTTTTTTATTTTAAATTCTAGTTTCTTGATTACTAGTAAAAGTGAGTATCTATTAATATGTTTATTGGTAATTTGCATTCTTCTGTGATTTGCCTGTTCCTACCCTTTGCCTATTTTTTTGATTATTTAGTTTGCACTTTTCTTATGGAATTATATAAATTCTTTGTATATTAGAAATAACTTTTATAGGATATAGATATATCCTTCTGCATCACAGAAAAACAAAGATGTGCAAAGATATGTGTGATATTAATAAGTATGTACATATATATATAAATAACATTTTCATTAAGTTTTCTTTTTAACTTCATTTCTTATTTTATCATAAAGATTTTTTTTCACTTTTATGTAGTAAAATCCGTACATTTTCTCTGCAGATTCTGAGTTACCCACCTTCATTAAAAGACCTCCTACTTTGGCCCATCTCACCCTTAAAAATGTTTTAAATGTTAAACTTTATTCTGTTTTTAACTTTACATTTAGATCATTAGTCCATCTGAATTTTGTTTTTGTATATGGTGTGAGGTAAGAATTTTTCCCAGAGGATTTCTAATAGTCCCTCTTTTCCCCATTGCTTCTTAATGCCACCTTTACCATAAATTAAATTTCTGTGTATGTTTATTCCTTATTCTCTACTGAGCTATTTCTCTCCTTAGATAATCGCTGTCCAATTCTTAGCAAATACTGAAGTGGGTCATTAATTTATGCAGCAGACTGCAGATATAGACTACCTGAGACTCAGTCCTGTTAGGGAGGATGAAATTCCTAGAAAGAATCTCGTTCACTTAAACTCAAATTCAACACTCAGGTATGCACGGGGGTTGACACCAGGTACCTGCCAGTGGTGATCAATTGGACATAAATCCAGTTTCTATGGAACAGTTAGGAGGCCCAAGGAATAAGAGAGAGAGGACAGACAGAACAAGCTTCCTGAAGAGCCATGAGAAGTCTCACTCTAATCACTATTCTCATCAGCAGGAGTACCTCTGTAGGGTTTGAAGTCAGGAGTGTTTGAGCACTCCTCTCACTGGGAGGGCTGCTGTGTTTCCCAGTCCCTCACTCTGGGCAGCTACCTGTGGGCAAAGACATTTTTGCATCCTTAACTCATATTAAATGAATTTGAATCCTTGGCCTGTGTCTGCCAGGATCTATCCATCATTCACAGTGACCTTTATGATGCCCATGCAAATGTTATGCAATTTGGAGATCTCAAACTTCTACATCTTTTCTGCTTCCCATTCTGAAAGTGCCAGATGGTATTAGACTAAGGTTCTTATCTTATTAGTCTTTGTACTCCCAGAGACTCTAACACAGAGCTGAGAATCATAGTGAGCAATACTTTCTATTTCAGGAGCAGACCTGTTTCCTCCCATCTAAGTATTCTACAACAAACTTCACAGTTAATTCACCAGCAACACCATCCCCACCGCAAGGTCCAAAAAGAAGTAAATGGAGGAGTAAAAATGCAAAAGATCACCAAAAATGACAAACAAATGGAAAGTAAGCCATTAAGCAAATTAAAACTACAAGGAGATATCACTATGTATCTATCAGAATGGCTAAAATAACAAATAGTGACACCTTCTAATGCTGGAAGAGATGCAGAGAAACTAGATCATTCACACACTGCTGCTTAGACTGTAAAATCATACGGCAATTTCTTACAAACTAAACATGTAATTAACATACAACCCACCAATTACACTCATGGGCATTTATCCCAGAGAAATGAAAAACCTGTACACAAATGTTCACAGCAGTTTTATTCAGAATAGCCCAAAACTTGAAATGTTTCAAATGTCTTTCAAAAGGTCATGGCCAGCCTGTGATACATCATTCCACATTACTCAGCAATCAAAAGAGCAAACTATTTTTTTTTGCTTTCATTTTTATTAAGCTTTTTATTTTAATTCCAATATAGTTAACATACAGTGTTATTTTAGTTTCAGGTGTACAAAATAGTGATTCAACAAATCTCTACATTACTCACTGCTTTTCATAATGAGCATACTCTTTAATCCCCATCAACTATTTCACCCACTTCCCCTCTAGTCATCATCAGTTTGTTCTCTATAGTTAAGAGTCTGTTTCTTGGTTTGTGTGTGTATCTCTCTTTTTTCCCTTTGTTTATTTGGTTTCTAAAATCCCACATATGAGCGAAATCATATGGTATTTGTCTTTCTCTGACTGACTTATATTGCTTAGCTATATAATACCCTCTAGTTCCACCCACATTGTTGCAAATGGCAAGATTTCATTTTTTGATGGCTGCATAATATTCC